TGACCCCTGCCCCTTCCTGACACTTTTTTTCTTTTGACAGACAACTGTTTAGTTTTTATTTCATAATCATAAACTTAACTCTGCAATCCAGCTAGACTGGGAAGGGGTAGGGAAATTATGGAACCCAATAAACTGGCAAGAGCACAAAGATTATGGAACATTCCAAGCAAATCGGGGTGAAGGGGTGCTCTCCTGAGCTACAGAAGGAATGGTCTGGTGGTTAAGATAAAACACAAGTCAAATTTATTAGAGTTGCCCACAGTCAGCAATGGTGATCTTCTTGCTGGTCTTGCCATTCCTGGACCCAAAGCGCTCCATGGCTGTCACAATACCCATGCCTTCCCTCACCCGGCCGAAGACCACATGCTTGCCATCCAACCACTCCGTCTTGGCCGTGCAGATGAGAAACTGGGAGCCGTTTGTGTTCGGTCCAGCATTTGCCATGGACAAGATGCCAGGACCTGTATGTTTCAGCATGAAGTTCTCATCCTCAAATTTCTCCCCATAGATGGACTTGCCGCCTGTGCCATTATGGCGTGTGAAGTCACCACCCTGGCACATAAATCCCGGAATAATTCTGTGAAAGCAGGAACCTTTGTACCCAAATCCCTTCTCCCCAGTGGTCAGAGCACGGGAGTTTTCTGCGTCTTTGGAACTTTGTCTGCAAACAGCTCCAAGGAGACGCGGCCCAGGGGCTCGCCGTCAGCGGTGCTGCGAAGTACACGGTGGGGTTCACCATGGCTGCTCACGGGTGGCTTCGGGGCGGCGGCGTCTGCAAAGCCCTGACACTTTAAAACCTGTGGTAATTTGAATTCTAGTGCCCATTATTCATTATTGTTGGTTTTCACTGTGCTGAGTGTTGGTGATCAAGCCTCAGCCTCCTTCATATCGCCCTCTCCTTTTGAAATATTACATGTGTGCACAGGGAGGCCACCCTTTTCAGGACTGTGCATTTTGAGGCTTGTGATAAATGAGGTGGACCAATGCAAGTGTTCATAATACTTCTAATTGGCCCAGAAGTTCTAGCATGTGATTGCTTCACTCCTGGACTATGACTTTCAGTGGGAGGTGGGAGTTTTTCAGTGAACTGAACTGTGGAATTATGACTTTTCATCAGCTTGAAGCTACTTTTAAAATCTGAAGGTCTGACCAAAAGAAGAGGAATATCAAGTTGGAATCAAGATGACAGATAAGGTGAGAGTAAGACTAACTCCAAAGACACTTTACTGAAGAGAAAGCATTTCAATAGTAAAGAAAATCTTGTCAGAATGCCGGAAGCCAGTTCCAGCATGTCATAATTGCAAGAGTTTCATCAAAAGGTTGATGGAACTTGGGGACTCAACAAGGGCTGAGTCACATATGTTATCACCTGTTGGGGATGGCTAAAGGCATTTCCCCAAACCTGAAAAGGGATGATTGCTTGCTGCCAGACAGCTCAGGGCATCTTAATCTACATGTTATTGCCTCCTACTGGCCAAACACCTGAACAGCCGTAGGCTAATTCTTCCATTCTGACAATGCCTCTGTATATGAAACCCTGACCCTTTGAAGTGTATTTCTTGGCCTCGCCTCAGGAAAAATTGTGTTAATAAAAAGAATGGGGTCCTGAGACAAGGAGATCTTAGTTTCCTTTAAACTAGGCTCCTCTGACCCCAAATGCCTTTCAAAATTATATTTCGTCTCTGGACTCCTATTTAATCTACTCACAGCCTTCTCCAGATTTCCTGAACCCTTCTCGATGCTGGAACAAGAACTCCGGCATCAGAAGATCCAAGAAAAGTTTTAATTTTCACCAGCATCTAATAAATTTATTCATGCAGAAGAATGTGCAACAGAACACAGCTCTTTTTTATTTTATTTGTACATTTCAGCCTGGGATAAGACTTTGTATATCAGCTTCATCAAAGTAAACAAAATATTTAGGGGGAAAAAGTGATCTTGACCAGGGAGCTCAGTTGGCTGGAGCATGGTGCAGATGTGTCAAGGTTTCATGTTCAGTTCATGCCCAGTGCCCAAGCAATAATCGAGGAATGAATAAACAAGTGGAACAAATCTCTCTCTCTCTCTCTCTCCCCCCCATTCCATAACTCTAAAAGCCAATTAATAAAAATATATATATATACATATATATATACATTTATATATATATATACATATATATATACATTTA